TCGAAGCATGAATATTTCCATTGAACAACCTGACTTGGTTGGACAAGCACCACTTGGCGTCACGGAGGATGCCTACGTGAAACAACTTAAAAATACCTTTGAGTTTATTTTGCAAACACGCCGCGATTTGGTTCAGCAGATGGGAATTCTTTTTAAACGCATCGTGAAGGGACGCCAGGTTGTGGACGCCCTGAATCGTAACGCGCGCGAGGGTTTATCTCCCACGCATCGTTCTTCAGGCAGTCTTGGCGGAGGTAGTGGGAGGCAGAATTTAGGCTCCATTGTGACAAGCATTTTGGAGGAACTTCACCGGTTTGTTTTAAATCTCCTGGCAGTGTACTTCACTTCGGCGGAGAAGCAACGGTTGGGATTAGGTGTCTAGAGATTTTTTAAATCTACATCCTGAGACATTGTGCATGTGGCAGAAACAACAACAACAACAACAACATGTGTTGAATGCGACCTCTTTTTTGCGATGCCAGATAATTTTTTTTTTTGTTGCTTTTTATTTTTATTTTTATTTTGCAATTGAGGAGTCATTTCAAAAAAAAAAAAAAAAGAGGGGATGGCGCATTTGCGATCCCCTTCCATATCCCATGACGATGAGAACAACAACTCATCTAGTGGGAGTAGTGGCGAGTCTGAGGAATTGTCGTCCGGCCGCGGTGAGTCGTCGTCGTCGAGTTGCTCCTTTACCTCCGATTCGAGTCATGTGCGTGGGAACCCCGGAAAGGGCTGCTGTGACGCGTTAGCGATGGAGCGAATGGAGCGTCAACAACGACTCAGAAGATTGCTCTCGCAGCGCAACTTGGGTCACGCCGTGGCTCTTGATGACGGGAAATATGTGGAGCCGTTTATTAGTCGTAAAGGTGCCCTCGACGTGGATGACTCTGTCATTCTTTCCATATTCTCCAACTCGCTTCTGTTTTTGAGGCTTCTGGCTGTTCTTAATTCCTCTGAAAATCCAGCGCACCTGCAGAATTTTGATGAGGTGCTTTCGGCAGCGAGCCCTCATTTTTACCGGAGCTTCAAGGCTCCACTGGAGGATTCCACAAGACAACCGGCACGTGTCGGTGCTTTGACGCGACGCGAATGTGCTGCTTTAGAGCGCAGTGGCATTGTCGTTTGCCGACGAAAGCGTAATCGGCCCGCAAGCAAAGTTGGCTCCACATTTTTTGCTGGTAAGGTCCAGCGTGGACGTGCGGCTGATAACGGGCAGATGACACACGGCAGCTCCGCAACTTCCGGCATTATTGCGAATTCGTTGCGGAATTGGGAGCAACATTTGACGGAGGAGTTGAAGGCGGAGGGTGTCACCATTGAAACTTTCAGGCAGCAGCGACACGGCAACAGTTATTTGGAGGAGAGGCGTTTTCTCCAAGAGTCTCAGTGGGCCGACTACCAGCGTGAACTGCGGCTCGAGGAGAAGCGAAAGGAACAGGAGGCCAAGCGGGCAATTCGTCGTGGCGAAAATAACAAAAACTGAAGGAAAAAGAAAAAGAAAAAAAAAACATGTTTTTTTTCCCCTCACATTATGAAAAGTCATGATGTCTCATGTAGTATACTACATTTTATTTCTTGTACGTGAGTTGTTTGCATTCTTACTATTAATGTTGCCCTTTATTTTTCTTTCTTATTTTTAAAATTTTTGATATTTTGACACATTCACGATTAAAGTGAGAATACCCGCGAATGGGACGTTCCGCGAAGATCACGAGGGGTGGTGACAAGACGCGCGTGAATCAAGGTCGTCAGGAAGCAAAGTTACGTGCGCAGGGGGCAAAGAACCACGCCACATCTGTGAAGGAAGCAGTGGAGGCGAGGCGCGCGCAGAAAAAGAGGTCGCAGGCCATTGCCACGGAAATTCGTTCAAAGACGCAGGCCCAGGCAGCACCAATTGTGAAAATGGCGCCAAAGATCAAGAAACCGCAGGAATAAGAAAACAATGGAGTCATCCGGGAGTTACCACAGACACGGAAAAGGTTCCTTTTGTATAAATGACCATCAGATGGATAAGTGATATGATTTTTTAAAAACAAATGAGTTATTATTATTAATTTTTCTTTTTCTTTTTTGTGTATGTGTCTTGCCAAAGTGTGCGATTTCATGTTGTTTTCTTTATTATTATTATTATTATTATTATTATTTGTATTTCTACTGAGGGATTTATTATAACGTGACGGCCAGAGGGTTAATACCGGAAGTAAAACAAAAAAATCTAACAGACACATAGAGGCTTACACAAAAAAAAGGAATGGATTCTGCGTCTTATTATAATTAGGCCTGTCAGTCGACAACTGACGACTTTATCCTCAGCGTTTTCTTTTCTTTCCGTCTCCACGGTGGCTAATTCTGTGCAGGGCCTGCATTACATTGGCACCGGACTCGCTGGCCATCGCTCTTGCAGATGTTGGTGTTGGCATTGGTACCATCTTTGTTAAGGTGCTTGTCGCCCGCGCACGCTAAACAAACTTGACAAAGATGCTCTTTCACTACGCCATTCTTGTCTTTGCCCTAATGGAAGCGATCGGCCTGTTCACGCTCATGCTTGCTTTCCTGATGCTCTTCTCTTAGAGACTTTTATTTTTGTTTGTTTTCTATTATGCTTATCGTTTGCGTGCTTGGTTGGGGTTTTTTCCAGAGTGCGGGTTTTCGCATCTTTTTTCCTTTTGATTTTTTTTGTCTTTTTTTCCCGGAAGTTTTTTTTTTTTTTATTATTGGCGGGAATGGGTCCGCATGGCGAGACGGCCTCACGCCTCTCCCAGCTGCCGTTGCCCGACGTTGCAACGCTGCTGAAACGGTACGTTGAGTTTTTGGATCCGCTAGACGGCGTCGATGGAAAAGAAACGGCTGTTGACTTTGCTCAGCAGTTGACGCGGTGTCTTCGGGGAGGAGACGGTGAAGTTCCTCCGGAATGGCGCGGCATTGCGGAATATTTTTGCTTTTTGGAGCAATATGCAAGAGAGTACAAGCGTATTTGTAACAATTTGCTGCGTACCTCGCACATGGCGGCTTTGTGGAATTCATTTTATCTTGGCAACCGGAGTGCACTGCCATTTGGATGGAACTACACGTTGCATCTTGATGGGCCCTCGCTTGAACAACCCTGCCAGCAACTGAATATTTCTTTACCGGCCTTGCGGGCGGCAATCATTGGGGCAGCATCATTTCACTTGCGTCGTCTCGTTAAGAACCCACGTTTCTTCACTCTGGAGGGGCAGAGTCGTCTCCCAACTTCTTGCCGCGTGGATTTGAAGCTCTGCCGTGACCAATTGACACGATTGTTTCGAACTGTTCGTATTCCTCACCTTGGCATGGATGGGCTTCGTTGGTCATGTACAAACAAGGTACTGATTCTCCGTAGGGGGCATCCGTTCGTCTTGGATTGGGTTAGTTTTGGTGCTGAGGATGACGTTAGCGGCTTGGGATTGCGGTGGTTGGAGGAGGTGGTTGCAAATGCTCGTCTAATTGACGCTCTCATGTGCGAGACGTCAACGTTATCTTTGCAAAGGGAAAACCCATTGGTATTTTCAAGCGGGTGCCGTGGAACGTGGGCGCGTATTTTCGAGAGGTTGTGGAATGAAGGGACTTCAAAGGCAGCTCTGGATAATATTACGTCCTGCAGCTTTTCAATTTGTCTCGATGATGAAATGGACCCCGCCCTGTCTCTTCACGGTGGTAGGTATCCGGAGAATCGCTATCCTGACATCAATGTTATGTACATGTTAAACCCCGCGGGTGGCGCCAGCTGCAATATGGAGCATTCGTGGGGTGATGGCAGTACCATGTTACTGGTTTGCAGTATGATCCACCACTATGCCGTGTCTTTTTGCAAGGAATACGTTGCATTGGATCGAACTGCGTGGATCAATTCATCGCCAGATTATAAATCACACGTGAGGCCTGTCCAGTTTGGCCCATTGACTGAAGATATTCTTGATGCGATTGCCGAGTGTCGCCAGGCCCATCAGCGGCACGTGGATAACACGGAGCTGACAGTGCGGAATATTTGTGCATTTGGAAGAAATGAAATTAAGCGACACTGCCGTGTGAGTCCTGAAGCCTTTGTGCACGCCGCATTTCATCTTGCCCAGCGGCGACTCTTTGGTGACCAGCGATCAACGTATTGTGCCCTGTTAATGAAAAAATATCATCATGGACGCACGGAGACTTTACGGACGGTCACACAAGAGACTCAGGCGTTGGCCGATCTGGTGGAATCGGCGGAAAATACAAAAGCCTTTGATCAAGCAGTTGCAGCGGCGTTGCAAAAGGCGAGCGAAGAGCACCGCAGACGCATTGCAGTGTGCCGTGCGGGAGAGGGATTTCATCGAGCTCTGACATTCCTGCGGCGTCTCCACAATGTGGCGAAGGAGCGGTTGACACGTGCAACCTCGCCGCCACTCACGAGTGATGTTTCAAAGGCCTTGGCTTTCGTTGATGCCTTATTTTTTGACTCTTCATCTCTACGAGAGCTCTCATGTGATTATCTTTCTACCTCCAATATCACTGGCAGTGGGATTGCCTCTTTTTGCTTTACAGCCACACACCCAGATGGCATTGGAATTGGTTACTCCCTCTTCCCTGACCACCTCACCTTTGCATTTTCAGCGCACAAAAGTTTTGCACGTCCACTGAAGGGCACGTGGAAAAATAAGCTGGTGGATGAGGGGGTTGCCAAAAGTGGTGGAAGACACATATGCCAACTATATGCTGATGCATTGGAGCAGTCCCTTTATGACTTGTACCGTCTTTCAGCTGTGTTGCCTCCTCCGAAACTTTAAACGCCGAGAATAAACTTGAGAAGCGAAAATGAGTTGTTTCCTAGAAGGGGCGAGAGATCTTTCGCGTGCTTTTGTTTTTTTTGTGTTATTATTTTGACTATTCTGCATTACTCATACAAAGTGTGTTGTTTTCTCTGCCACAATGCCAGTTGGAGTTTTTTTTTTTTTTTTTTATTGTTTCGAAGTGGCGGGCGCTATTTTAATTTTTTTATTCAAATGGCGTCACGTGGTATGCTGGGTGCAGTCTGTCTCTTTGGCGGTCTGACGATGACAGGCGTCGCGCTGGCGGGGTCGCGATGGAGGCGGGTTTCGACCCGCCGCGCGCAGCTGAACAACGAATACGCCAACATTCTGGCGGAACTCCGCTCATTGAATGACGCACGCCTGAAGGAGGCCGAGGACCTGCGGCAAAAAAAGCAGGAAAATGCCCTGCTGCATGAAACGGTGACTACACTATGGGCCGATCGTCTTGCACGCTACGTCCAAACGAACAAGGAGCTGCACTCGTTTTTGAAAGCCCTTCCAGAGGCGCTTGGTGCCCTGAAAGGTCTCACAAGTCACTATCGGTACATGGCAACTGAGATGGCGAAGTTTTTGGCATTTGATGTCTCCTGTATTAAGGTGCATAATTTTGCACTTCTTCTTGAGCACGGTGAAAATGTAGGAATTCCCCGTGTGATCGAGACAATTCGTCAACTCCTTATTGCCGAGCCGCTTGTCCAGGTGGTGTGTGACAGCGTCGTTAATATTCCCGCTGACGTTAGCAGTCCACGGTCCATTGGTGAGTGCAGTTCGAGTTTTGTCTTCTGCATGGAGGAACTTGACCAGGCGATTGAGGCGGCGGTGTTGCGCTACGTTGACTTTCAGAGCGATCACGGAACAAAGGCTCCCAATGCCATTTGCGATGGTGTACGCAAGCTCACTAGCGA